ATGGCAGAAGATCATGGCTTGAGCAATCGTGATGGCCCCGTAGAGGTTACACAAGGCCTGGAACTTCTCATCTCTGCTATTGCACAGGACATAATACTGCTTGATGGTGTCCAAGGTCTCCTCCTCGCGCTTCAATTTGATAACGTTTGGGTCTGGGACCACTTTCTGGGCAAACTTCCACACAGAGTCTTCAAAGGTGGCAGAAAAAAGCAGCATCTGGCAGTTCCGGGGCAGCATCCTCTGGATGCGGATGCTCTGGTCCTGGTGGCCCTGAGTAGCTATCATCACATCAGCCTCATCCAGAACAAACACCTTGATCTTCTTGGGGTCAATGAACTTGAGCTTGGAGCACCAGTCCAGGACGGTCCCAGGGGTACCAATGACAATCTGCTCACTGATCTTTTGACCCCTTTCCACTGTGGAGACCCAAGACGTTTTCCGTGGGTATTTCAAAGACAAAGCCAGCTCTCCTCTCTGAGAAATACTAAAGTTATTATGTATTTTAATGTAAAAGTTTTGCTGTTTGCATTATTCTTATAAGGTAAAGTTAGGATATCACTACAGTATTTAATGGACATGAAAACAGACAAAAATGCTGAAATGATATAAACAATGAGAAAACAAAAAACTCTTCAAGTGACATTCTTTTCATTCTCTATAATTATTCAATATGGCTGAAGTATATCTTCATTTTTTTCTGTATAAAAATCATCCCATGTAGGCTAGGATTGCATTTCCTCACAAGCAGACTTTTTCAGAGTTGTTATATTTTTAGTGCACTCTGCCCCCCAGCTATCCAGCATCACTTTCAAATGTCAGCTGCCTTTAATTTCCCATTGCCCAAAGCAATAAATAGTATCTTTTATGAAAAGCTTTATCTTTTGAAAGAAATATAAACTGCCTTCTTGAAAAATTCGCTTATGCAAATAGGCTTGGCAGACAGTGGCACATTCTCAGCCCCATGCAATCTGAAACTGAGAACTTGGCTCTTCCTTTGCTTTTTCCTTTTGAGATGGGGGTCTTGCTATGTTGTCATGCTCAAGCGATCCTCCCACTTCAACCTCCTCAGTATATCCAACTACAGGTGTGCACTCCTGCACCCAGCTCTGGCTCTTTGAGTTAGATAGAACGTAGCGATCTGCTTTTTAGTCCCTTAAGAATATAACCTTAACCAAATACACACAAACTCCCAAATACACACAAAACTTGCCCAAATGTAAATGCGGACTCAATTCAAAGATAAAAGAATGCTGCTTCTGACTTCAGTTAAACGAACCAATTTACTTCTTCCCCCCCAAAAAAATTATTCAGAATTCTCTGCCTAACTCAAATCCAAACAGCAAAATTTTAAATGTCTGATAATTATCTTCCAATACAGTTTATTATCTTTTTTTTTAGAGACAGTGTCTCACCTTGTCACCCTTAGTAGAGTGCTGTAGGGTCACAGTTCACAGCAACCTCCAGCTCCTGGGCTTAGGCGATTCTCTTGCCTCAGCCTCCCAAGTAGCTGGGACTATAGGCACCCGC